GGAAGGGGGGGGGGGGGGGGGGGGGGGGGGGGGGGGGGGGGGGGGGGGGAATTATTATTATTATTATTTTTTCGAATTTTTGAACACTTTAGTACTTTGCTTGGATAACACGTAAAGTAGGTAGTCATTTTTCACTTTACAAGTTTTTAAGAATTCAATTCTTTTGTTGGGTAAGTGATGACATTTGCAATTGGATCCATAAAAATTATTTTATTTTCACTTGTTAATATTACCTAAAATTTGCATAGCTTTTTCTAAACCAAAAACATGTCAGTTGTTTCATAAAACGTTCTTAAATGGTGACTCGTTTGAATAGATGAATCTTAAAATCATATGTGCTTATATTTTTAGTTTTAATCGAATAGAATTACACGTTTAAATTTAATGACGTGATTTGAGATTCATCTTAAAAGTTTAACATATAGCCTAGCCCCTATTTGTCATCCTTTAATAAAGTAAATTGTTTGTAACAATAACACTATCCACCACAAATTCACACAGTAAAATATTCTACATACAAACCAATAAAGTTTCTTTAAATTTCAACATGACATTCTCAAAAAAGTACTATTCAAAATTCTACATTTTTTCCAATAATGGGAGACAGTCAGACAGATAAGATCTGACATAAGATAGTGTATTGCACCAATTTAGTGCATGAAATCAAATTCATCTTCATCGAGACGAAAATGGATCTAGATCGAACATTTAAAAAATAAAATTCTAGAACAATGTTACACTAGAATATATTTGTGAATTGACAACGTGTTCACATATTAGCTCAACTGGCTTCATAATTTATTTTGGAAATAGTCAAATAGCTTCATAATCTAGGAAAAAATATTACAATCCATAGATACTCAAGCTTGTCTAGAAACATTTCAATTCAGTTGGCAAAATTATATAAAAATCAAATCAAATGGATGAACGCGTTACGGTTTTATTGTCTTTAGTTTATTTTCTGGTTGATTTGTCAACCAATAAAAAGGAAAAAAATAAATAAAAATAAAATAAAATTGAAGTTCGTGAAGATTATTTTGAATTTTAATTGTGTCTTGATTTGTTAACCGGGCTCAAGGCTTTGCAAAACACACCACTTAGATACATAATAAGTGTGATATTTACACATATCTCGACATGTTTAATTATGAAGTGTAGATATTAATTATGATTCGTTTTAGTTGTTTTATGAAGAAGTTTGAAATTTTAAGGCGCGTTGACAATAAGGAAGACGATAATGAGAAGAATAATATGATTGTTGAATAAGGTTTAATTTTTTAGTTAAGTATATTGTACTCGAACAATTAGAATTGATCGAACGAAGCCAGTGCCTCGCTGTAGTGAAATTTGCGTGAAAATGGAAAAGCTGAAGATATGAAGCTACAATTAACTTTTAGTCAAGTAAAAATCTTCTTATGTCACACGGTGTCTCTAAAAACAATAAAGAAAAAAAATTACTTTTATTAATTCATTAAAAAACAGGAAAATTAACACAGTTATAAGCAAACAAATGATGAATTAGTAGCCATTCATTAATGAAGTAAACTTTGTGGAGAAGTAAAGGGACCATTGGAGTGTTATTTAAGTGTTGGGTGTAGGTATTGTCTCAAGCCTTAACCTCATCTTAAACATTATAATTAAACTAATGATTTACCCAAATTCTCATGTCATTTCTCTTTTCTTCTAAGGCTTATTCAAAATCATGGTATACACAGTGTTCAATTAGACAAATGATATATGATTTCAATGATAAAATGAGTGCAGTAATGCATCAATCTAATTATATGCAAGGGTGTAAATGTGAATTGGGTTGTGAAGTTGAAAGCAGTCAACATTGATCAAGTCATGATTAGTGACAGAGCCAAGATTTTTATGCAAGGAGGAAGAGAAAACATGTTAACTTGGTTGCCGAAGTTCGAGGTAGTCCAACACCAATTACGCGTGATTAGTGACGGAGTCAGAATTTTCATGTAAGAAGGATGAGAAGATGTCGAGAGAATAAAATTACATGTATTGTGTATTTAGTAATAACGGTGGTCGCCCCCTTTAGATCCACATCTTGTCGTGGCCCCGCGGGCAAAGAGTTGTTGCTATCTATGCATGTCACGTAGTATTCAATCTTTTATGCTTTCTTTCGAAAAGGTAAGAATGTAAAAAGGAAAAGAAAATAAATAAATAAAATTGTGGGCTCAAATGCCCTGTCATGGTCCAACCAAGCCATAGCAGGCTTCTGTCGTCTGTACACGGATCAAGGGAAATTTTAACTATTCCAAGGCCCTATTTGATTGCAATATTTTCCATGGAAGACGTCACATCCAAGGAAAATAATTTTCACTTTGATTGTTTGATTCGCATGTGGAAATGAAATTCGAATTCTTATGTACAACCATTTAAAGCACGTTTTTGGCCAATTCCATGGAAAATGAATTCTTATGGGTATGGTGGTTTTTTGTTTTCCAACTTAGGTGGAATTCCTTTTCTTTTACTTCATTCGCAATCAAACGGGGCCTAATATTTGCATCATCTTTTATTAAAATTCAGAAAAAGTAACACATTGTGTCACTTTTCATTTGTAATCAACATTTCAATTTGTCATTTAAAATTTCACAAAGATTACATGTTGTGTTCTGACGTAGCAGAAGTTATAGGGAAGATGAACAAATCTCGCAAAGAATAAAACTTACGAAAAGTTTTATTTCATTCAAATCAATCTATGGCCTTAAGAGGCTTACAACGTATTTATAGCAAAAACCTAGAAAATTCGAAAATTAAATAATAATAATAATAATAATAAAGATTTTTTTCCAAAAATGGAAAAAAAATCAAGATAATGACGGAAATTGATAGTTATAATCTTTAGGATTATTCTCCAACAAATGGAATGTAAATTTGAATTTATTTGATTGAGATATACTCAAAATAAGAATTATCAATGAAAAAAAGGCCTAAACGAAAGAATTTGCCAGAAATTGATCCTACGTCAAAGCGAAGCCTTTGAGTTTAACTTTTCAGCCCGTTTCCAACCGAATTTGACTACAAATTCGTCAAAAACGGACAACTCCAAATTTCCTACAAATTATTTTTTCTTACGCCGGTCTCACTTTGCCATGAAGTTTAATTCCTTTTGCGTTGTCCGTTTTTTACGAATTTGTAGTCTAATTCGGTTGGAAACGGGCTGAAAAGTTAAACTCAAAGGCTTCGCTTTTGACGTAGGGCCAATTTCGGGCAAATTATTTTTTCTTGTGCCAGTCCCACTTTACCATGAAGTCCAATTCCTTTTGCACGACATCATGTTCCTCATCCTTTAATGAAACCTTTAATAGTTGCTAGTTGGCAACTTGCCCCTGTTGCCCACTTTTCGAGTTGGCAAGACAGAGACCTATCCTTGGTCTTGAACCTTATACACGTTACCATGTTAACTCGTTTGCATTCGCGCTCAATATCTATGAGCACGGGTTAAAGAGAAGGTAACTAACAATCCAGAAAGACAGATATACAAGGACTTCACAAATACTGTAACAGAAATAAACGAATGGACAAGATTTGACGCTACAACTGAATATGCTTTTTCATTAAAGACCTCAAAATGAATCCAACATTACAAGATTGGATAGCACCAATAGTATTTGATTGTTAGTCGTCGTGTTTCAAAGAATGAAAACAGGTTTGTCCTGATCAACTACAACTACAACTAAAAAATCTGGAAGGAAAAAGTTGCAACAAAGTACCACTTATGTGATATGTCTACTGTCTAAAAGAATGATCAAGCACGTCTATGAATGTTAGTCGTATCCTTGTCAATGTATCTGCTATGTTATGCCTATCGCTAAGACGCCATCCATTCCTGCAAGCCCGAGCTCACCCCTCGATTGTTACAGTTACGTGAGAAGCCAATTTGCGGTGCTTTCATCTGCCAATACCAAACATTAATGCATTAGTCAGTACTATGAAACCAAGCAAAATTGGTTTCGAGGACGAAATATAATACTCAAATAAAGAACAAAGTTAAAAAGCAGAAACTGAATCTGAACAAGAACAAGAACAAACTGAAACACAGGAGTCGGGATTTTTAGAACCAAAGAAGATTTTGCAACTGGATAATAATATAAACCATAGAACTCCCCGAATGGTAAGTTTTTCTTCACTCATCAAGCAATTTCTAAAATTGTATCCCCGGAAAAGTGTTAATATAAGTATTAGTTGCAACAGTTTTTACAATCCTATCCCGTCCTATTTTAAGGATAGACTGCACCAAAAATTAAGGCTCTAGCAGTGATGTAATTAACCAAAACACATTTAACAAGAAACAACATAATCAACAGATGTACAACGACAATATCCCCTAGCATGGATAATATTATTAATCTTAACAATTTTTGCGCTTAACAATGTCATTTCCTATTTTTCATCAGATATCTGCAACAAATGCCGTTTATGGTAAAATATATTGCATATGGACGTAAAACATCAGTTCTCACTTCTTAAAAATCATTAAACTTCACTAAGGAGTTGCTACAATTTCAATTCATCGAGGACTGAGCCATCAAGCGTCAACAACTAAGCAATCGGAAGATTCGAAAGAGAGAAGAGATTTAGTTCATGCAGCAAGTCATACCTTGTCCATGTAAGACTTTATGACTACAAACAACAACTTGTCCCCTGCTATATTTCTCAATCGTTGGATCAATTTGAGTCGCGTCATCTTCTTCTCCTGTGGTTAAACTTTGAGACATGAGAAATTTATCTTCATCAATGAAATATAAGCCCCCATTTTACACGAGTAGAGTATAAATACATACTTTATGATCACCATAATGTTTAGCCATCGTTTTGACAGCATCGGGAGGTAAGAACTTCGAAAGCGCTTTTATGAGAGCTGGAAATGGAATGAAATTCGAACTTGGTCTTCTCAGAGGATGAGAAATTCTTTGATAACCTGAAAGTATAAGATTGCCAATTTCATTTAAGAATTTACACATAACGAATAATTATCTTCCCAAAAAGAAAAATCGTTTTGTATTCCTCACCTTCCAAACCAGATGAAGATCTGAAACTAACAATGTATTCTGGCAAGATATGAGTATTCACACGAGTGCTCCAAACAACATACTTTTTAGGACACGCTAAATTGTCGACCCCAGAATCAAATTTCTCGGAACTTGGATTAGACTGTCCTGAATTTGGTTGAACAATCTCTGTCCTTCCCAATAGAACATGACAAACTAACAAATGCCTTAATCCATCTTCATCAGCAACAGAGGATTGAAAACTGTTACATAAGCAAAATCCCGTTAGCACAAAAACTAAACCTCAAAACAATACTCCAATTCAGCAAAATAAAAATTCTGAATACTTTCATACAGCCTTACCTTCCAATAGGGTAATCAGCCGGAGAAAGACAAATCCCACCACCATATACTCCAATATTCATGGAATGGCCAAAACCGTGTAAAAGAATGTTGTTGAGCTCATTCTTGGAAGCACCATACCAAGCGTATTTCATATTGGCGCCGCCCCTGAAATTTTGCTCCATTGCTCGTGCGTATGTACAAAAGGACTGTAACTTCGCTTGGCACATTACACCGGAATAATCTTTCTTATGTATGGCCTCAACTTCAGTGTGCAATCCACAACTACTCAAACTAGAAACAGACTTATTCTTGATTATCCCATACATCTTATCCTCTTCATGAACTCTGATTAAGCCATTCTTGAACATATGAGTATCTTGCCCATTATCGATACCAGAAATCCCGCTTTCACATTTAGAAGCTAAAGAAACTTGCTCACACTGATCTTCAAGATTAGCCCGAGAACCCGGATTTTCAGTTTTTGAATTATATGGACTTTCATCAAACAGTTTAAGGGTTTTGATTTGGGGTGAATGTTGAAACCCCACTGTATAGCCATCAGTTGATCCCATTGATAAAGAACGTACAACCTTGGGACAAAAGTTAACTGGGTCTGCAGTCCAATTAGGAAAAGGGGAAAAATCCAAGATATTTAACAAAACTCAAAGTCAAGATATCGGAATTGAGAATTAAATTCAAAACCCAAGAATTTATGCAAATGAAAGAATAAATATGCACAAACACAAAAGGGTAATTATAGATACAAAGAAACAATTAATAGCCCAAATCAACACAAGCACATTCTTGAACAAAAACCCAGAAAAAAAATAAATAAATTCGGCCCAAAAGAATCAAGAAGAAGAACCTTGGAATTTAGAAAGAACACTTGGGTATTGGAAGCTTTGAATTTGAAACTATTCCCTTGAACTAGAAGTAATTTGGATTATACAATGTGTTGTGAATCCTCATCAATTGGGATCGTAAGAAAGAAAAGATTCAGATAAGTTGCCAAATTCATGATGTTTCTTGGTGAAGAAGGCTTTAAGAAGGAAGTTGAAATGGTAAAGCTACCCAATATAGGAACAAAATCGCCACACGGTTTCGGTAAACTTCATTTTCTTGGCGGTTCGCTAGTTCAACCGTGTATCTATGATTAATTTAAAGGACAAGTTGGGTGTCTGGGGTACAATTTTGACCTTCGATATTGATAAAAAGCCCTTTTGACATTTAACTTGAAGAGTAGGTTTGAATTTCGGGTAGCATCATCTTTCACCGACTTTGTCATCATTGATACTGATACCTTCTAATTCGATCATTATTGAATTCAATACTCTTTCTATACAATTATTGCATAGTTATCGTCAATTTATAATACACGTATCATTGTTATCGAAAGTTCATATTATTGATGATATATCGAAAGAAGATGACGATGACTTCTATAATGAATACAAAGATGTTCACGTTCTCCTATTCTGTTTTGGTTTTATGTGGAATAAAATTTATCTGGACATTTTGATCTTTTAGGATACCATCACGTATTTTCACTTAACGCTTTTAAACAAACAAGATAGACATTAAATATAAAAGTTTGACAAAACATTTTTTCCATGTTAATAAAATATTTGAATGTCTGTCGTCAGAAACAAGGTGAACTAATTAATTGAAGGTTTAAATAGAAGAATGTAATGAAAAAAGTTGAATATATAAGCATAGAAAGGAAAATATTAAGGACATGCATTGCCATTAAAATGTAACATGATTAATGAAAAGTGTGTTGTGAATATGACTTCCTTATTCGTTCTTTTTAATCCATACACAATTAGAAAGGTAATTATCATCTCAAATTTGAAGGAGGGAAGAGCCATTCCGCCTATTTTAATAGAATCCTATTCAAGAGATATAGAGGTATTGGCATACTTCATTAAGAGTAAAATGATGTCCTCTTAGTGAACAATACATTCCCTTTGTCGTTCCTTAACTTTAAACTATTCTTTAACTCCGTCAATATATCATTTGTATCTTCTAGAGCGACTAGTAAAAAACTACTTGTATTCTAGAACGTATGCGCTAATTATGTAAAGAAAAATTGTCTATCAAAAAAATCAATTGGATATTGAAACTCATTGAGTATTCCTTATAATTATATCAAATTTGGTTTATGTAATATGATGGAGGTTAGTTAGTTACTATGTTAACAAAAGTAAAAATCGTACATACATCAAACAACGAGGTTATAATCAAGTACCTTTTATGGCGGATATTGGAGAACTAGCTCCTTTAATTTATATACTTTCGAAAAAGAAAATTGATATGTGACATATTCGAAGTTGTACGATACCAAGTTCTGTTTGATGTAGATTAAAATCTAATAAAAATTATAAGTCAAAGTTGCATAATTTGTGGACCCCACAATTTTTTAGTTACACATTTCACCAATTTTTATTAAAAATTATTAAAAATCTAATTTTAATCTAGACTAGATGAATTTGATTTCATTTTTTAAAATAAAATTATTAATATTAGAAGAAAATAAATTCAAAAATCCTATTCAGAATTGTTCTTAAAAGTGCAACCATTCACGTGGGTAATGAAATTACAACTTTAACCTTTGAAATCCTCAAGGGTCAATTTTAGGAAAGTGACGCATGTGAATACAAATTAATGTTTGCGTGTGTGTAAAGTGTTTTGGTATTGTTGTAATCTCAATGGATTCAATTAATTAATTACATTAATTATTAAATTAATATTATGCTTTGGGACAAAGGAAAGAGAGAAATAAAAATGTTACAAGTTGAGCATATTATCTAGATGTCGGCTGATGAGTTTTTATATCGAAAAACTCATTTTTTTAGTCAAATATAGAACTTGTAAAGATTTAAGCGTAATTATATCTCCACAATTTATTATTATTATTATTATTATTATTATTATTATTATTATTATTATTATTTGTACAATTGCACCACATTTTATTACAATTAAGGTTCTCAATATTTGCTCACTTTTACTTTTATGTCCTCAATTTTTTTTTTTTTTATTATTATTATTATTATTATTATTATTATTATTATTATTATTATTATTATTATTATTATTATTATTATTTGTACAATTGCACCACATTTTATTACAATTAAGGTTCTCAATATTTGCTCACTTTTACTTTTATGTCCTCAATTTTTTTTTTTTTTATTATTATTATTATTATTATTATTAATATTATTATTATTATTATTATTATTATTATTATTATTATTAATTTTTTTTTTTATTATTATTTTTTTG